AACTCTATTTTTATGGTAGGTCACCTAGATGCACTCTTTATAGGAAGCAATGCATATCATCAGTTTCTTGGCATCTTTCCAGAAACCTTAAGCATTTGCAAATATAAGTATCATGTTATTTTTCACACAAACTGTAGCCTACTATACTTCCTGTTTTATATCTTTTCTTTTCACTTGACCTTTCACTTAACTTCCCTTATCAGCCTATCAAGAGTACCTTCTTTATTGTCTTAAGAATTGCGGACTATTCTTTTAGTACTACATACCATAATGTATGACAAAACCAAAATGTCATTAAAAAGACAGGAAAGAAAGAAAACACCAATATAGCTGTCAGAAGAGACTCTGAAACTTGCTCTTAGAATGAAGAATAGCTAAAGTGAAAAGAAGAAATGATGAAGTAAAGGCTGAACAGGAGATTTCAGAGGATAGCTGGAGAAGACAAAGTACTGAAATGTAGAAAGACTTGGAGTTAGAAAACCTAAAGGGAAGAACATGGCTGGCATTTCTCAAACTAAAAGAATTAAAGAAAAAATTCAAGCCTTGAATTGCAATACTCAACATTTCTATGGGCAAAATATTGGATGCAGAAAGCATCAGACAAAGATAGAAAGAATACAAAGAGTCACTGTACCAAAAAGAATCGATTTGACAGTCAATCATTTCAGGAAGTAGCATATGATAAAGATCTACTGGTATTGAAGAAAGAAGTTCAAGCGGCACTGAAGGCACTGGCAAACAACAAGACTCCAGGAATTGACAGAACACAGACTGAAATGTATTAACAAACAGACGTAGCAATGAAGGTGCTCACTCGTCCATACACAGAAATGTGGAAGACAGCTATTTGGCCAATCTAGAGAGATTCACATTCATGCCCATTCCAAAGAAAGATGATCCAATAGAATGTAGAAATTAGTGAATAATATCTTTAATATCACACATAAGTAAAATTTTGCTGAAGATAATTAAAAAATGATTGCAGCAGTACATTGACAGGGAACAATGAGAAATTTAAGATGGATTCAGAGAGGGTATGGAACAAGATATACCATTGCTGATGTCAGATGGATATTGGCTGAAAGCAAAGAATTCCAGAAAGATGTTTACCTATACTTTATAAAGTATGCAAAGGCATTCAATAACAGTGTGATGAATAGGCATTCTAGAACACTTAAATGTGCTCATCAGAAACTTGTACACAGATAAAGAGGGAGTTGTTCAAACAGAACAAAAGGATACTGTGTGGCTTAAAATCCAGAAAGGTGCATCAGGATTGTATCCTTTCACCATATTTATTCAACCTGTATGCTGAGCAAATAATCCCAGAAGATGGCTCTATGAAGAAGAACATGGCATCAGGATTATAAGACTCAGTAACAACCTGCGATATGCACATGACACATCTTTGCTTGCTGAAAGTGAAGAACACTTGAAGACTTGAAGCACTTACTAATGAAGATTAAAGATGACAGCCTTTGGTATGGATTACATCTCAACAGAAAGAAAACAAAATTCTTCACAACTAGACCAATAAGCAACAGCATGATAGATGGAGAAATTATTTAAGTTCACAATGATTTAATTTTACTTATATTCATAATCAATGCCCAAAGAAGCAGCAGTCAAGAAATAAAATGATGTATTGAACAAGATCTCTTTAAAGTGTTCAAAAGCAAAGATGTCACTTTGAAGACTAAGGGATGCCTGACCCAAGCAACAGTATTTTCAATAGCCTCATATGCATATGAAAGCTGGACAATGAATAAGGAAGACCAAAGAAGAATTGATGCCTTTGAATTATAGTGTTGGCAAACAATATTAAATATACCATGGACTCCCAGAATGAACCAACCTGTTTAGGAAGAAGTATGCCAGAATGCTCTTTAGAAGAGAGGATGGTGAGACACTGTTGCATGTACTTTGGACGTGTTATCAGGAGGAACCCATCTCTGGAGAACGTCATCATCCTTAGTACAGTAGAAGGTCAGCACAAAAGAGGAAGACCCTCAATGAGATGAACTGACAGTGGCTGCAATGATGGGCTTAACCAAAGCAAAGATGCTGAGGATGGCACAGGATTGGGCAGTGTTTTATTCTGTCATACAAAGGATTATTATGAGTTGTAACTGACTTAAAGGCACGTAAAAACCACCATCCAGTACCCATCTGAGGTATATTCAAGTTGTTCCCAATTTTTACAACTACAAACAATGCTTTCATAAATAAACTTGTACATAGGCAATTTTGCATATGGATCAGTATGTCTGTAGGATAAATTCAAGAAGTGGGATTGCTGGAACAAAGGATATGTAAATTGCTATTGTGATAGATTGTTGTTGTTGTTGTTGTTTAGTGCCGTCGAGTCGTTTCCGACTCATAGTGACCCCACGCACGGCAGAACAAAACACTGACTGATTCCGCGCCAGCCCGACAATCCCTGCTATACTTGAGTCCATCACTGCAGACACCGTGTCGATCCATCTCGTTGAAGGCCTCCTCCTATTTCGGCGACCCTCCACCCTAACAAGCATGACATCCTTCTCCAGGGAATGGTCCCTTCTGACAACATGACCAAAATAGGTGAGACGAAGTCTGGCCATTCTTGCTTCCAAGGAGCATTCT